GTATAGCGAATATGACGACAAAAATAATAATAATAATAATAATAAAAACCGGCAGTGTGACAGCAACGGCCCCACCTCCCTCTTCGTCCCTCTCCTCTGCCGCAGCGTAGCTGCGGCGGGTCCACTTGTTCCATATAAAACGTACAGCAATAATAAAATTCCCATGAAAAAACTCGATTGAGTCCCAAATAAACTCATTTCATATTTGGCGAGTAAGTAAGCTAAGGACTCATTCGAACTATAATTTGTGGATGTGCAGTCCAATATGTTACCCTTATGTTACTTAGCTTTTGATTTGATTGGATTGATAAAAAGAAAGGTGCGAAGCAACGTTTTTTTTTACGATTTTTAAAATGTCAGATCGGGGTTTGACTCACCACAGACACAGAGAGAGAGAGAGAGAGAGAGAGAGAGAGAGAGAGAGAGAGAGAGAGAGAGAGAGAGAGAGAGAGCAAAGGATTCCTTTCACACATATCAGAGGGACCCTGCAGGTATTCTGAAGGGTCCTCGCAGCAAACTAGCGTAGTAGACCCTCCACCAAAATCGAGGCAGGCAATGAGTATGAAGTGGAGCAGGAGCTGGCCGAATATATACTTTGGATCAGAATTCAGGTCTGTGTTTCAGCAGTTATGGGTTGCTCGCTTAGCTAGGCCCTGTTGGTCTGCACGTGATTCTCAGGGCGTGGCTGGACTACTTCCCAAATGTGCTAAGTTAGAATGAATCTTCTTCTATAACGTGGTATAATACGCCGCCATATGTTTTGTCGTTTGCACACGTGGTGAGTAGAGGCCCTTAGGGCCACTGCACGTATTCCTAAGAGAAAAACAAAAACGAAAAAACAGAGAATTAGTGACCCATAACCGCTGATACACAGACCTGAATTCAAATCCAGAGTATATATTCTCTGCCCACTCTTGCAAAAGTGGAAGTCTAACGCCTATCTCTGCTTCGCGATGGGTCCTTAGAGGCCCTTTGGAAAAGAGACTGGAGTCACACCGGACACAATTAGGACATGCACACCCACACCCACACACATGCACCTGCAGTTTTGGGGTATGATGTGGCCCCAAATTTTTTCCCTCTTGCAGTTTGATTTTTAGAAGCGAGGGGCACGTTTGGCCAACCCACCCTGTCCTTCCGTTTTTTTTTTTTTTTTTTTTTTTTTGGTGATGCGATCCATCGTGTGCGCTCTCTGTGCCGCGACCCCGCGCATGGCATGTGCCGCAAGTATGGAATGAACTCGTGGTGACCGAATTGTACACATCTGTAACTGTTAGCAAACCGATTATGAACTCGAGTCTCGCTTGATATATTAACGTTAGGGCATCTCCTTTCTATGTTTTAGAAACAAAGAATCAAGTGAAGTGAATTCCGAGATAAAATGGCATTAGCGAGTTCCGAAAGGTGAAATTTGCTCTTGCACGGAATTGCCTGAGGCTGCTGCCAAACGGCAGTAGAAAATCAGGGAACTGGAGATTTCCTGTGCCCTGAAAATTGCTTGGTGGTCGAATAGTCCAGAGGACTGGCATCAAAGTGGCAGTGGGGGATCCAGGTTATCATGTGATACATAGCCGCTGGTCAGGTGACAGATGCAGCTGTGAATGTATCATAGCTGTGACTGTGTGTGAGATAGTCGAACTCGGTTGCATTGCATTCATGTGCTGTCAACGCGGCTGCGCTAGCACACTGACTTCCAGGAGAGTGAGAAGGAGGCCGAACAGCTGGCAGCGGTGGTGAAGCAACCTTGGAGGGTGTTTCATAATGGTTTGGGAGGTCAAGGAGTAGAGGTAGACGAGTGCGACAAGTGGGCAGGAGGAGGGGGGAAATGTCACAGATCTCAAGTGGGAGGCAGCAGTTCTCGAAGAGTTGACAGCACATGTATTCTTTGCCTACATGTGTGCCATGTTTGCGCTCGTTACTTTCCTCGTCCTTTGTGAATCCGGTAACCGTTTGAAGGGTCCTCTCCATAGTTGCGGTGCACCACGGTGTCCCGGTTTGCGCACGCGTTGCGCACCGAGCGCAGCGCACCGTAGCGCCCCACACACGAAAAAAGAGGGGGGGTGGAATGGTGGATTTTTTTTGTTAATGGTTTTCCTTGAGATGGCGGGTCCCCGCCCCGGCAAAATTGACGACCGGGGCGCGCGACTCGGGAAACCGGCTGTGGCCCGCCGCCGAAATTTTTTTGGGGAAAAGGGCGGGGGGGCATGTTTAATTTTATTTTATTTTTCTGGCGCACCGGGCGCATAGGTCGCAGCGCGCACACTTTGCACTGCGCACCGCACAGCGCACAGTGCGTGCGCTGCTAAACCAGCGCACTGCGCACCGGTGCGCACCGCGCAGCGCACACGTGCGCCGAAACTATGGTCCTCTCCTTTATTTTGTCCTCTTTTTTTGGGTTTTCGGCTTCGATTCGGCCGTCTTCTTTGTACTTGTAGCGCTGCTTTTGCTTGGCACTTCGCATGCTTAAGTTTTTGCCTCTTTTGGAATTGGGTCAGATTCTGCTGCGCAATCAAAACTTTTGACTGCTTACTTCAGGTTTCCGTTTGTTTTTGTTTTTAGCGAGGTTAGCGAGCCCTAGTTTTATTGTATGCTCCAGGATTTGAACTCTTGACTGTTTACCACCAGTAACTCATGTCTGCGGTAGCTTTGTGTCATTCAGCCACGAGTCAGATATGGTTACTTGAGATTCCAACTGCAGGCATCACAAAGGTATCATGTGGTCCTTCTGCAGGCGAAGCATGCACATCCATGGTCTTCAGCCGGAGATCTGATTTTTTATTTTTTATTTTCCCATATGTGTGTGTGGGCATGTGTGTGTGTGTGTGTGTGTGTGTGTGTGTGTGTGTGTGTGTGTGTGTGTGTCCACGAAAATGCATGACTGTGCCAGACTGTTTCGTCGGACTTTCACCGACTCATCAGGAGGTTGAGCCGCGACGGTCAGTCTGCCCAGGATGCATTTGACTGATGGATAAGGACTCGCCATGTCGCCCAGAGTTAGTGATACACCTGAGAAAAGTGGTCAACTTGCGTGTGTGTGTGTGTGTGTGTAAGAGTGTGTGCGCACGGGTGTGTGCACGTGTATGTGTGTGTGTGTGTGTGTGTGTGTGTGTGCGGGGGGGTGCGTGTGTGTGTGTGTGTGTGTGTGTGTGTGTGTGTGTGTGTGTGTGTGTGTGTTTTGTGTGTGTGTGTGTTGTCTACCTTTCGGCATGCTGCAATTCGGTGTGCTTCCATTTATACTCCCCTTTTCTCCAGTGTTTGGGCGTTCAGTTTCCTTGTAGTTGCCGCTCTGTGAAGACTGCATCTGTTGAAGGTCAGTCGTTGAATGCTGATCTGCACCATTCCAACTTGTTGTTTGAAGTTATTGCTTTTTTTTTTTTTTGGGGGGGGGGGGGAGGGGTTTCATTGATTAATGACGAATGCATTTCGTGATCCTTCTGCAGCTGGTCCATATAGCTCTGGCGAGGACGCAGTGGAAGTCAAGGCGGCTGAGCGCAGTAGACCTGTGAGCGATGCGATCCCGGCAGTTGGTTCTTGTGAGGAGGGTGAGGATGAACTGATTTTCTCTCTCGAAGAAGAGGCACTGAAGGCAAAGAAGCAGGAGCGAAAGCTGCGGAAGCAAGGAAAGATAGAAGAGGCAAATGAAGTGCTCACGAAGCTTGAAGGGATAACGGAGAACATTGCGAAACTCAAAGCAGAAATGGAAAGGCGAAAATCAGATTGTTCCCGAGTTGAGGCGGACGTTCCGGGTAATTCGGACGAGGAGGATGCAGAAGATCTGCTTCTGACACTGGAAGCCGAAGTGCTTTCGACAAAGCGGCAGGAGCGGACACTTCGGCGGCAGGGGAAGTTGGAAGAGGCAAACGAACTCCTCAAGAAGCGAAAAGCGATGGAGGACAAGATAATTAAGATTGAAATTGACATGGAAAGGCAAAAATCAGATAGCGGTGGTGTGCACGGGAAGGAGGATCGCCACACGGGCTCGCATGAAGAGGATAATGAGGCACTGATTCTGGGGCTTGAAGAAGAGGCACTTGAGACAAAGAAACTGGAGCGAGAACTGCGGCGCGCAGGAAAGATAGAGGCAGCAAAGGAATCTGTCCAGAAGTGTGAAGCGATTCAGGAGAAGATTATGGAAATCAGGACAGAGATAGAAAAACAAAAAGCGGAAGGTAGATCGTATGGGCCAAATAATCTTCCAGCTGGGTCTCGTGATGGGGATGCTCAAGAGAAGCTGCTGGTTGCGCTCGAGGAAGAGGCACTCATTGCTAAGTGGCAGGAGATCGCACTGCGACGGCAAGGAAAATTGGAAGAGGCGAATAAAATGGTTAGCAAGGAGGCAGGGATTCAGGAGAAGATCATGACAATCAAAACAGAGATGGAAAGACGGAAATCGGGACATGTCGATGGGTTGGAGAAGCCTCCCGTGGGTACTCGTGAGGACGATGAAGAAGATCAGTTGATTCTGGCGCTTGAAGAAGAGGCGATTGACACAAGGAAGCAGGAGTTAGCACTGCGGCGAAATGGAAAGTTGGACGAGGCGAAGGAAGTGAATAGGAAGTACAGAGACATCCAGGAGAAGATCGTGAAAGTGAAAATGGAGGTGGAAAGACGAAAGTCGGGGAGCGTACATGGGAGGGAGAAGGTTCCAGCTGCTTCACATGAGCATGAGGAGGACGAAGATAAGCTGATACTGGCACTTGAAGAGGAGGGGCTTGAGACAAAGCGGGAGGAGATAGCACTGCTGCGGCAGGGAAAACTGGACGAGGCAAATGAAATGTCCAGGAAGCACACTGAAATTCAGGAGAAGATTGTGAAAATCAAAACCAAGATGGAAAGACGGAGGGAGGAGAAGCTTCGGACTCCTTCTCGTGAGGAGGATGAAGAGAAGCTGATTCTGGTACTTGAAGAGGAGGCACTCGAGATAAAGCAGGAGGAGTTGATGCTGCGGCGGCAAGGAAGGCCGGTAGAGGCAAATCAAGTGAGTAGAAGGTACACAGAAATTCAGGAGAAGATCACAAAAGTTAGAACAGACATGGAAAGGCGAAAATCAGGTGGCGTGCATGGGGGAGAGAAGGCTCCGAAGCTTCCCCTACAACCGTTCAGGCCACCAGGTGCCCAACGCCCTGAAAGTAACTATAGCAAAGCTGATGGTGATAAGCACAGCGATTCTCCCGTGCGGCCGAGTGATGACATCAGGCAACCTATTGTTGATGACAGCAAGAATCAAGCAGCTGCAGAGAGGGAAACCGCAACTGAGGTGCGTAAGGCGATGGATCTTTTGGACAGCAAGTGGGAAAGCAGCATGCAAGGAGTGGAAAGTCCATTGCTTCCTTGGTCGGAAGGCGGCGCAGAAATGTTGGTAGAGGAAGCCCAGAGGCTGGTGAACGCGTTGTCCGCAGCCGGAGGAGGAAACGAGGCATTGATGAACTCTGTGGGTCTACCTCAAGTGGTGGATCACTGCGAGGGCAGCGAAGAGAGAAAAAGCGAGGAGGGGAGTTCCGACTCGATACATTGCAACTCGAGCATGAAGGCAGCGGGCGTGAAACTGGAGATAGCTAAAGAAGGGTCAAGTCCACACGGCAAGGAAGAGGACGTGGAGGAAGTGCTTTGGCAACGGCTGGAACAGCATAGACGGAAGAGTATGGTCTTACATGAGGAAGGAAAGACCCAAGAAGCAGAGGAGGAATTGCAGTCAGTGGAAAGGATAAAACAGCAGATGGAAGCTCTTCTGGTGGGTGGAATGACAGGGGATGGAGTCGGGGAAGAAAAGAGCGACAAGCGCACTTCTCTGGGCCCAGGAGAATTGCAAACAGACCGAAATGGAAAGGCGGGGGGGGGATACCACACAAGCTCGGGACAGAGTCGGGACTCTTATTTCAGTTTGCACGTCCTTTCAGACGCAGGGGACGTTCCTGTTCCAGCTGCTGCAACTGGGAACGAATATGAGCAGGCAGGTAAAGGTGGAGGTGTGGGATCAGCTGTGGTTAGCAGTGCAGGGAAAGGAGGGAACTTTAGATGGGCTGAGTCCATAGTAAGTGCACCTTGGGGGAAAGGAGAGAAGGAACAATACCTGAAGTGGTTGAAGGATGACTTGGTGGAGATAGAGAGGAGAGCAATGGCCTTTGAGAGCCAAGGGAGGAAAGAAGACGCACTCAGAGAGTGGGTGAAGGGGCGTGCAGTCGAGAATCGCATTAGGGAGTTAGAAGGTGGTACATGGAGACCTGTGGTGGTCCCAGACAGAGAACAAGTAGCACCTCTGCAGGGGTTATCATGGAAGAGGGAAGAACCTAAGAATGCGCATGATGACATCCCACATGGATTGGGAACGGAAAGTCAGTCGGGGACAGTGGGATCAACACAAATCTTCGGGAAGGAGAGACGGCGCTCTGAACAGGAGGATGAGATCGATGGCGAGCCTGAAGTCGATGATGCTTGCAATGTGGAGGAGGAGAGAATGGGGAAAAAGGAAAGGGCAAGGGAATTGGAGGCTCTTGAAAAGGAGAGACGGCACCTCCTTCTGGAGACTAATAGGCAAAGGACAGCAGGAAAGTCGGAAGAGGCATCGGCTTTGTATGCGAAAGCCAAACAGATCAAGGCCCAGATACAGGCCCTTACGGAACAGGGGAAGAGTTCAGGGAGTCTGTCTGAGGGGACAACATCAACAGAAACACCACAAGATACTGGCAAACACGACCATGGGGTACCGCCACGAGCAGTGGAAACATCGAGTAAGATCTCTGACGAAGTTGGTAGTGACGGTCAGGGTGACACACAATATTCTGATCGCAGCAGGGAGGAAACAACCCGTAATGAAACGTCAACGTCGTCAAGTGAATTGGAGTTTCTTCGAGGAGAGAAAAAGCGTCTGGTTAATCTAAGTCTAACCCTGAAGAGGGAAGGGAAGACGAGAGAGGCGGCCATTGAATATTCGAAGCTCAAAGAAGTCAGTGCCCGGATACAGGCCCTAAAGGAACAGGAGAAGAGTGGAGGTGTCCTCACTCCTGACACACAACATTCCGATCCCGGCAGGGAGGAAACAACCCGTGACGAAATGTCAAGTGAATTGGAGTTTCTTCAAGGAGAGAAAAAGCGTCTGCTTAATCTAAGTTTAACCCTGAAGAGGGAAGGGAAGATAAGAGAGGCGGCAGTTGAGTATTCAAAGCTCAAAGAAGTCAGTGCCCGGATCCAGACCCTAAAGGAACAGGAGAAGAGTGGAGGCGTCCTCACTCCAGGGCCTGATGTATCAGCTGCGCCAAGCCGAATGTCAACAGTGCGACCTCCTGTTTCACCCAGGCAACCATCACCGCGTCAGTCGCCCACTGGTCGTCGACCTTCGCAGCGACCAGTATCACCTTTGCAAGCTCCTCAGCAGCCAAACGCTTCTGGGGGAGGTGGCCCCATTCCTCCTCCACCTGATGTATCGTCAGCTCCACCGAGTCGAATGCCAGCAGGCGGAAGAAGTCCACGACCAGTCTCTCCCAGGCAACCTTCACCGCGCCCATCACCTCCCATACAACTTCCTCCGCTAAACACGTCTTGGGGTATTCGTCCTCCAAGCTCAGCCAGCTCGTCTGACTCTGAGCCCAAGCCAGGTACTGGTCCCCTCAGGTCAGGCAAGGGTTCCGACGGATCTGGACAGAACTTTGCGACCCCTTTGCCACCCGCTCGTCTCAGTGAGTTGGGTGGCTCTTCTTGGGAGCTGAAACCTCCAGGAGCAGGTATCTCACCTCGTCCTGTGCAATCGGGTGGTTCCCTCAACCCTGGTGATAATGGGGATAGAGAAGGCTCTGAAGGGCGGCGAACTCCAACCGGAACTGGGTGGGGGCCGCCGCCTCCCGCAAACCGCTGGGGTGCACCGGGCGCATCTCCCCCAGGATGGCGGCAGGACTCCATGGGTTTCAATGTCCCACCTCCTCCCCCGCCAACCTCAATACGGCCTGGAGCTTCAAAATCCCCCCCTCCTGCAGTTCCTAAGCCTCCCACTCCTGCACCTGCTAGCCCCTCACCTCGTATGCCTCCGAAATCTCCCCCTCGAGAGCAGCAGCAGTGCAGAGCAAAAGCGAGGATCATGGCTCCGATGGGGAGGAGGTAAGTCATGATTGGCCTTGTTCGGGTGGTTAGCAACAGTCATGTCCTGAATGGCACAGGAACCTCAGTTCATCTTGAGCCTAGCATAGGTGAACGTGATGCGGGACACCTGCAGCAGTTCTTGACCCTAGCCCCCCTCCCCCCCCTGCCAGCAGCCAAGGAGCAGTCTAGACTGACTGTGTTGAGTCGCTCGTTCTTCGGGAGTGGCGACTCTTTATAGGGAGCACAGCATAGGTGAATGTGGAGTGGGAACACCTGCATCCGTTCGTGAGCCCTCCCCTGTCACCCCTGCTTTAGCTCCAAAAAGTCTTCTTGCCTGGAAACATGCATTTTCTGCTGACGCCAGAGCCACAGTTCTTCGAAATGAAAGGTGCCGTTGTGAGCCAAGTATAGACGAAGATGATATGGCAGCGTGGGCGGGAAGTCTTGCAGTGTTTGAAGTCTCTGCAGTACAAGAGAGGTATCTGCTTTGAGTGAACTTTTCTCTTGTATCCTTTGAGGTGTTCCTTTCTCCTCCGTTTTCCTTCTCTTGAAACACAATTTGATGCTTTCTGTGCTTCTGTAGATAAGTCTGTGCTGAGCAGATATAGCCCATGTGCAGCGTGTGGTAGTCTCCCAGGTTCTTCTGTAGGAAGTTAGGTCACAGAGAAGAGGATGCATACGTGCGACAGACAAATGCATGGGTTGCTACGTAGAGAATGGGGTAATACCACGAGTGTCGAAGCTAGAGGAGGGATGCCAGTGGGTTTGTGGACGACATCTCGGAGTTCAGCAGTCCTGGAAAGTAGCGTATAGAATGGGCGTTGTAGCATGTGGATGTTGAAGCTCAAGAGCTTTCAGTGCAGCTGTGGAAGGTCTGTTGGAGACATGGAGTGAAGCACAGCCTGAACCTTCGCCGTTCATATCGGGAGTTTCTGTACGGCCAACTGACAAGCCCTTCGTGGAGTTCTCCCGAGTCGTCAAAGAAGTCCGCTGTAGGCTAGGCAAAGTCTCTAGATGGTGTTCAGCCATGGCGAAGGAAGGCAATAATGGCAACGGGACTTGTTACGATGTGGTGACATAAGGGGGGGATGGGATGGAAGGGTGGGTGAGGACTGGTGTGAGAGTAGCCGATGAGGAGACCCCCCCCTTTGTCAGAACTTCGAGCGGCAGGCCGAAGTTATGGCTGGATCATTTGAGGAGAAGATAACGTTTGCGGAAAGTCTTTTGTGATGTTCTTTCTCTATAATGAATGTAGACAGAAGTGATCCTCTTCGACTTGAGAGAGTGTGTTTCACCCATTTATTTCAGGATGCATGTGCAGCGGGAAACACCACCTTCTTTCGCTTTGACAGTTTGTGCTCTACCCAGTCATCTGACTATGCAGGTGTAAAAAGTCCCCAAGCGTAAAAAAAAAAAAAAAATGAAGGGATCACATGCAGACATCAATCTATGGATTGCTGCTTATAAGTTATAAGAAGCTAGCGCCTGATCCAGCCCCCCACGATGGTGGCGCTTCAGAGGATCGTGCAATTGGTGGGAAAAGGATGCAGACTTGGTGGCAGGGGACCATATATACTCTAGCGTTGGGGTTGGGTTTGAGAATGTGTGCTCTCTTCCCACTCGTTTGAAGACAGAGATGCAGTGCGATCGGAGACAGAGATGCAGTGCGATCGGCCATGTGGCAGAGGATCAAGCAGGCTGGTAGTGGGAAAAGCTTACATCTGCTTAGCCGTTTTCGAGGGAAGGATTTGCCTGCATGCTTATATTGCGTCCAACTTCACACGAATAATTGCAATGCAGAGTTGACGTGTTGCTGCCGAAGGATGATAGGGTTATCCGTTATCGATATTGTTCTCGTTGCATTTGAACATCAATAGTTGGTTGATGCGGCGGCAACCACACCGTCTGGTTCTTAGTTTGGAACTTTGGATATATAGGGCATTTGATTTTTTTTTAAGACCAGGATTGAGCATACAGAGGACAGAGGGTAATAAGGTAGTTGTGAACAAGAGAATTCCACTTTGAATTTTGAGTGGGAAAAATGAAGGCCTAGTGGACAAGAAGCACACTCTCTTTGTGACCTTCTCTGCATCATTCCTCGAGCCCCCCCCCCCCCCCCCCCCCCCCCCCCCACCCCCCCCAACCCCCACACCCCCCCCCCCCCCCCCCCCCACCAACAACAACCCCCCACCACACAAAACCCAACCCCCCCCCCCCCCCCCCCCCCCCCCCCCCCTGTTAAGGAGTATGTTGAGGATTTCGGCGTGGAGGGAGAAGCCAGCGGAAAGGGATTAGGTGCCAGCACATGTAGGGTAAAAGTCCGATGAAACGGTTTGGCACAGTCATGCCTGTTGTGTGGAGTCGTGCGCAGCAAACACTCTGATGAGTCGGTGAAAGTCCACTACGAAACAGTCTGTTCGGCACAGTCATACTTTTCTTTGTGCAGCTGCTGTGTATAGCGAATATGACGACACACACACTCACAAACACACACACACACACACACACACACACACACATTGGAAGTCGTATCCGTATCCGCAGTCGGTGTCACTCAGTGTAGTGGAGGGAACTTGTTCTTCTGTTGTGATTTGGAGAGATGGTTCTTCGGTAAGCTTTGGTTCTGTGTTGGTGGTGACGAATTTTTTTTATTTTTTTTTTTGGTGATGACTTTATTGAAGTTCATTCTGTTATTGTGACTTGAGAGCATGTTTGCATGCACAGGCGGTGTCAGTGCCTCGCACCTATACTTACTTACTTTGTGATGCCGTTACTTTGTGATGCCGGTAGTTGTAGGTTGTTGGATGGCTGCTGGTTGAAATGTCAGACCAGTCGCTATGCTTCGGCAAAGCTAGCAGAAGCTTGGAGAATGGTTGTTACAAGCCAGGTCTGATCCTAGAGGGGTTCAATTTGGCTTTTACGGTCTTACCTTGAAGCTTGCCGAAGGGCAAGAGATTAGAAAACGTTGTTCTGAAATTGGTATTGACTATTGATGTACGTGTACTTAGAGACTCTTAGATTGAAAATGCTGTTGATGTAGGTGTACTTTGAGTGAAAATGCTATATTGATGTAGGTGTACGTCGAGTTAAAATAATGCTACTGATGTAGGTGTACGTGGAGTGAAAATGATATCGATGTAGGTGTACGTGGAGCCTGGCGCACGAACGAGGGGTGCATCAAGTCCACGTGGACGGACCTTGAGGCAGACAGGTTGGACAGTCCTGTTGGTTCTGGGCTCGTCTGGGCTCCTCTGGGTGTAATAGCGGAGCGCAGAAAGCCGGGGGGATGGTCGGTCGCCAGGGATCCCTCCGCAATCGGTGACGTCTGTCCTGACACCTTGTTTCTCCTATGTGGGGATCACATCATGTGTTTTTTTTTTTTTTCATTTTATTGTACGTAGCTTGGCTGGAGAGTCTGGAGACCCTGTATTGCGAAACTTCTATCGGCCATCGTTCCTGACATGGAACAGGGGGACGTTCATGAGGTGGTTCTGATATATATATTCCAAAGTTTTCTCTATTTTGTGGGCCAAGAATGACAAGGGCATTAGCATCCCTTCGTTCTTTCTTTCTTTCTTTCTTTTCTTTCTTTCTTTCTTTTCCTTCTTTCTTTTCTTTCTTTCTTTTCTTTCTTTTCTTTCTTTTCTTTCTTTCTTTCTTTCTTTCTTTCTTTCTTTCTTTCTTGCATGCTTGCATGCTTGCGTGCTTGCTTTCTCTCTTTTCTTCGTGCGTTGATTTGCTTGGTGCGTTGGTCAGTGGATCTGTGAAAGCATCTGCCGTGCTTGTGTATGCGAAGCAGCGTACAAGTGGTTTTTCAACTTTTTTAATATTCTATTTTGATTTCTTAGCCGTCCAAACTGCCGGTGTGTGAGGTAATGGCCTTCCTCCTCTGCCATCTGGTGATTTCTTAGGAGTCGGGACCACAAAGAAAAAGCAAAATAACAATTCATACTTACACACAAAGCTGCACGAACGAACAACAGACAGACAGACAACAGTACCGAAAGGACAGTCAAACGTGGCCTGAGTGCTGGTGCAGCGTTGAAAACTTGAAACACAACCGTAACAGTAACAGTAACCGTAACAGTGACTAGTAACCGTAACAGTAACAGTAATCGTAACAGTAACAGTAACCGTAACAGTAACCGTAACCGTAAGCGTAACAGTAAAAGTAACAGTAACAGTAACAGTAAACCAAGTAACAGTAACGGTAACAGTAACAGTAACAGGGAGAGGGAGAGGTAGGTAGTCAACACTGAATAACACAGTCAGCTTGTTAGAGTGGACGAATGAATTACGGAACTCTCAGACTCGTTCAAAAGATATTTCATCAGATTATATAATGAAACAGGCGTGACATCCCTGACGCTTTCTTTCCTTTTTTTTTTTTCTGTCCCTGACGCTTTTTTTTTTTTTTTTTTTGACAAATTTGACATACTGCTTTTTCAGATTATAGAATGAAACAGGCGTGACATCCCTGACGCTTTCTTTCCTTTTTGTTTTTTTTGTCCCTGACGCTTTCTTTTTTTTTTTTTTTGACAAATTTGACATACTGCTTTTTTCCCCCCTTTCTCTCAAATTATATGGACTCCATTACAGAAAAGGATGAGAAAGGCACGGAAAAATACCAAAAAAAAAGAAAAAGAAAAAAAAAAGAGACATGTATGACATCCCCATATGTCACATTCCAACTGCTGGCAGGCAGTGTTCCGCAGGGGCTTTACGCGCCAACCCCCCCTTCCTTCACCCTTACCCCGTCTTCCACCACTACCCCGGACGTCCTAAATTTGGCCTTCCTGGAGTACCGGGTTTCAGGGGAGGGTGGGCGACCAGCAGGTGCAGGCGCTGGGCGGGTCCAGTCCCTCAATTTTCAAGCGTCAACTTTGGCGATCTTTTGCGCTCAGAAGAATGAATGAAAAAATCTGAAATTTGAGACCCTGTAGATTACATTGTGATCTTTCCAGGAAAAGGACCAGGTAAAAAATAAAAATAAAAATGGACCGTGAAATAAATGTCACGCCGATTCCTCACATTTTCCATTTTTGCCACTCTACAACATGAGGGCCAACGGAACAAGTACCCCAACCTCAATCCCCATTGGCCTCATGTACCTTCCTGGGCAAGCTTGGCGCCCGCCACCTAGAGATATGCCGTTGGTCCCCCCGAGTGGCATTGAGCAGAGACTGCTGATGTTCATAGGGGGAGGGGACCGGAGTGGAGGCACAGTGACTTGCCCATCGAAGAAGCTCGGTCCTGATGCTACCGGCTGACCCTTGGCCGGTATCGCCCACCTGCTGTAGCAGGTATCGCACCTGCTGGTGGGTGCAGCTCCCGCATGTTCCCTCGTTGGAGGCTTGAGCACGGATGTG